TCGCAACACACTGCCGCCGCGGCCCGGCTGACGATGGCTGCCTCCTGACCCTGTAACTCCCTGTCTCGTGTCTCCTTCCGATCGTAGTGGCGGCATCCTCCCTCTGCACAGGGTCTGCGGGACAGGGTGTCAGCGTTGGAGTGGCGGGCTCCCGCTCTATGCACCACTTTAAAGTCAAAGGACTGTAGCTCCTCCATCCAGCGTGCTACTTGGCCACTAGAGTGGTCCGTCCTGACGGTGAACGGTAGCCCGCAGAGGTAGTATTTGAAATGTCGAATGGACGATACCACAGCAAGGAGTTCTCTGCGTGTGACACAGTAGCGGCGTTCGTGCTAATTAAAAGTCTTACTGTAATACGCCACCACTCTCTCACCCTCTGTGCTTAGCTGTGCTAGCACCCCGCCCACTCCCTGGCCGCTCGCGTCACAGTCCAAGATGAACGGGAGGGAGGGGTCAGCGGGAGCCAACACAGGAGCCTCCCCCAGCGCCTTCTGTAGCGAGGTGAACGCTGTTAAACACTCACTGGGCCACAGAAAGTCTTGGTCTTTGTGTAGTAGCCTGAACAGCGGTGCCGCCACACAGGAGAACCCCCTCACGAACCTCCTGTAATAAGAGGCTAAGTCCAGGGAGCTTTTCAGCTGTTGCGGGTCTGATGGTGTGGGCCAGTCTCTGACCGCTTGTACCTTTTCATCCATTGTGCCGATGCCATCTCTGCCCAGCCTGTGCCCAACGAATGACACCTCTCTCTGCATGAAGTGGCACTTTTCCGGGTGGAGTTTGAGACCCGCTGCTAATGGGTCAGAGGCCCGGCTCTTAGGAATCTGAGTAGTGTGTGCTGGCTGTGGCGCAGGTGGGGCGGCTAGATGAGGTGAGGGGGGTAGTGGGGGTGGCGACTGGTGAGTTCCGAGCGGCGAGGGCTGTAAGGTGCCTCTGCCCAGCTGTGAGTGGGGGGGGGGGGGGGGCTAAGGGGGTCTCGAGGGGTGGGCCTCACGTCCCCTACAATGGGGTCACTGTTGGCTTTGCGGTGTTTGCTGACACAGTGGTTACCTGGGGTGTCGTGGGGTTGAGGCCCAGGGGGTGTGGAGCCATATTGACCGGACGTTCCCCTGGAAAGCACAGGGTGGCCTCCGCCAGGTCCAGCTGACAGCCTGTGTTCTTCAAAAAGTCCAGTCCGAGAATGCAGGGGTCCTGGACTGACGCCACCCACACCAGGTGGTGCACTGTTTTACCCCCTACCACAAATGTCAGTGTCCCTTTGCCTTTCATGGGTGACAACTCCCCCGTCACCGTCCGTAGTTGGACTGCTGTTGGCTCCAACACCATTTGCCTGGGAAGCACATCGGGCCGCACTAATGTCACTGTAGAGCCGGTGTCTACCAGCACGTTACCAGCACGTTACTCCCTCCACAGTGACTGGAATGTGGCAGAGGTCCCCAATTGAAGTCCGGCCCACTACTGCCATCGGGCCAGCGATGCCTGAGGGTGTATGTGGGGGGCTGTGGTTCGTGGTCCGCGTTGCCCCCTCTATGCGGACCCGAGGTCGTTTCCCCGGTGTCTGGTTGCTTTCGGGTATGAGTGTACCAAGTGACCGGGTTCCCCACAGCCCCAGCACAGTCTAGTTGTGCGGTCAGGGCACCGTTGAGTGCCCAGGGAAGCTGCCCGCACCAGCTCTGTCAGCTCGACTGCCCATGCTGGTGTTAGCTGAACCTCCGCTGCTGCTCTGACATGGGGACTGTTGTGTTCCTGTGTGGGCATTGTGATGTAGGCGTGGGCCGTTTCTCTCTCTGATGCCCTCTCCAATGCCTCCTGCAGGGACCGTGGGTGTGTCAGCTGTACCTCCACCCACAGTTCGGGCGGTGAGAGGGCTTGCATGAACCGGTCGCGGGCTAACTCACTTTGTACCATCGTGGGCATGCTGCTATATGATCTGCGGGTAAGGCTCTCAATGTCATTGGCTAGTTGCCGTAGCGGTTCGCCGTGTCTTCTGTACCTGTTATTCAGTTCATTGCGGAGGAGCTCCGCTCCAGTAAAATTCCCGAACCATCACTGGAGAGCCCCCACCAGTGCGACGTAGTTCTCTCTGTCCTCTACGTCTAAGAGTAGCAAGCATGCTAAAGCCTCGTCCGTAAGGCACATCGCCAATTGTAACGCTTTGGTCTCTTGCGACCAGTTCTGTGATTTAGCAAGCAGTTCGAATTGCACATGAAAAGCTTCCCAGCTCACCTTCCCGTTGTACTTTGGAGTTTTCACAGAGCTAGCCGCTACCGCTGTTATTGTGGACTGGGCGCCGCCATTGTTGTTTACTTCTGAGCTTCCCGCGCCGGAGGTGACGTTGGTGTCTGCGCCCCCCTCCGACTTTGGCTTACGGGTAGCGAAGCCTGCATGCCCTCGTTTGTCGAAGCCAGCCTCGAAAGCCATCGCTTCATTCGTGCCCCTAAGATGGCCTCTGCTGTCCTCCAGCCGTCGCAGCTCCCTTTGTAGGTCACCAAACATCCATTCCGCGGCTCGGGCTCCTTCTTCGTCACTCATCTCCCCACGCACACCGTGGCGACACTGTCACGCTAAAGCTAACTTAAAGGTGACCTATAATTCAAAATTGAGTTTACCTTGGTATAGTCAAATAACAAGAGTTCAGTGCATGGACATGACATAGAGTGAATCTCAAACTGGACTGTTCTGGCGTTCTCATTTAATTCACGTTTATGAAAAACACCCCTGAAAAACGGTCGGTTCTCCACACAATACCGACTGAGACGCAATAGTCGGGATCATTAATATGTACGCCTCCAAATATTTGCATAATGCCAGCCCTCAATGCCAGGCGGAACTGCACAGCCGAAGCATGGCAGTTGCTCAGTGTGGATGTACACATGAACACAAAAGTATTTTTTAGTTCCTTCATCTGAGCCTCTGAAGAAACAATGGGTTAATTTTATTTTCTCTGGAAATTTCCAAACATTTCACCGACTGTTTCCTCAACTTGGGCCAATACAGAGCTGGCCTCGGATCGAGCTACCAAGCAAAACTTTCTGATGTGTAATTGTTCAAGTTCAGACAGGTAATCTTTCTCTCAAAATCGTTCAATACTGTTTATGCATCAGTAAGTCAAGCCAGTGACTAAAATATCAGCTTCACATCGTTTCTTTTAGTAGGATGAAAATAATCGTATTTAAATTGTGAACAAATTATATACAGAAAGCGATCAAAGAACAATCTTTCCACACAGCGCGAGTTTATCTGGACACTTGCCAAACTCGTTATGAAATCAATGACGCACGTTACTGCACAACGAAGCTCTTACTGTATTTACATCATCGTGTTTGCATTGGTGAAAGCATTAGAGAGAGTGCAGAAACTGCTTTGCAATGATAAGATCTTCATTCTCGCGATCAACACACTGTCATCTGCTCAATGCTCATCACGGCAACATTTTATGTGATGGGAATCACATAAAACAGTCCAGTCCCTAAATACTTTAAAAACATCTCACGATTCGTTAATCTCGATAGCTGTTATAGTAAAACGTATAATAGCAGTAGTAAAAGTATTCGGGAGAGAGTTTCACATGTAATGCGTAGCTATTTCATATGCAAGCATGTCAGCCAATCACAGCAGTGCCCGCGGTTACACTGAATCCCACAGCAGACACGCCCCTTCAAACAGAGTGTTCAAATCAGAGGCTAAAAGCAGGCTAGGAAAAATGCCATTTATTTCTAAATTATGATTATTTTTTATCTAAAAAACATACTAACATTATAAGGGTAACCCAGGAAACATTATAAAAAAAATAAAAAATAAACATTCTAGGGCACCTTTAACTAACTAAACTGGTCCCTAACTATTAGTGCAGGGTGCACCCTCGATCTACCTTATTCGCTTTTCCAATAATTTATTTTTTACTTCTGACACCAGTGTAGCATCTCACAAGAGGCCAAAATTCGGTTAACTTGTCACTTGAAAGCAAAAAACAGTGTTTGAGATTCGTAGAGGCAGTGGGCGGAGCCTACATTAATATTCATGAGTTTCCCGGGCATGCGTGGAACTGCTCATTCTAGTTAACGCTCCTCGTTTCTCAGCAGGTTTAATGGATTATTTCAAAAAAGGTAAATATAGTTTCAGCGCGAACTTAAAATACAATTGTGTATCATTTCATAAAGTTCATAATGTTTTTATTAGTTTGCACGTTTTTGTGCATTCATTAATGACTAAATGATTGATGGCATTCACCTAGGCCTATATAAAGCACAGCAAACTTCAACTCATTTATTTCGTTGTGCTTTTCCTCTGTACATTGCAAGTTCACTCTACAACAAATTTCAATGTCACAGGCGTTCAGGAGTTTTGCACCACAAATATCTTCATACTCAAGATGGTTGCGCCCTAGTAACAAAACAACAAACTAACATCACTGTTTCCCCCCCTTATAACTACTTCAGCAGTTTTAAGAGGCCTACCACAAATAACAATGATAACACATTTGTTATATCACCTTTACTTCCTATTTTGTTTCAGTTCCCCTTTCAGTCTGTGACAACACTGTAGGCTACTTGAGTCAGACATTCACTAACGTTACCACTTTCTGACTCTTTCGGATCTTCAAACACTTCTTTTTTAAAACACTTTGCATTACTGATCTTTTCCAAATTCTTCCATTTTGTTTGTAAATTCAATTTTGGGAGAAAACTTTAGCTTCATTACAGCAGCAGTAAAATATGTAACAGCCTGCCACAAACAAAGAGAGTCAGCGAACAGACAAAACTAAAGTCAGAAATATTCTTAACATGCGTGAATGCAGACAATGCTTTTTTTCTTATTCTTAATTATTTTTCTTGCAATTTCTTGTTCATACAATTGTATTCATGTATTTGTTTACTGATTGATTCATTGACTTTATTGATTAGAGAGAGAGAGAGAGAGAGAGAGAGAGAGAGAGAGAGAGAGAGAGAGAGAGAGAGAGAGAGAGAGAGAGAGAGAGAGAGAGAGAGAGAGAGAGAATCTACCGGTAATACGGCCCGTATTCCCTTCCGAAACTGTCACATTTTCTGGTTCGACCTTGAAAGGGGCTTCCGTGTTTTGTGCTGATATTTGTACACCACTTCTATCAAGATGGATAATATTCATTGCTTGACATTGACCCTCCTCCAAAAAGCTTCCATCGCTGTAACAGGAGATTAACCTCAGCATGGATCCAAATGAAAGAATAAGAAGACCTCTCGCAATATACATCTGAAACGACCAATATAAATAATAACATCAATTTTAAACAACTAATTTGTAACAATTCCCGTTCATAGACACTTAAGCCTTTACTGAAGTTCAAATATAATAAAGTTATTACATACCTTGTTTTAGACCTACCGTGCGCGTTGCTGATTAAAAGGAGAGGGAAGTAGGCTAAGTGTATTGCTGTCAGTCGACTCTTTATATAGTAGGTGTCCGTGATTCCGTCAGCTCAACAGATATTGTATTGCCCAATTAAGTTGGCTAAATGGTTTATAATGCCCTCTTTTGGCGAATTCAGTTATTACGATCAAAGGGGGAAAATGGTCTTATGATAGTAGCTTTGAATTGTTCTCCTGCCCCACAACAAACGTGCATAAGGAAGTAAGTTACACATGACTTATTTTTGTGTTTATAATGAGGTCACCGCAGGCAAACCTCTGATGATAGGCCACAGAGCCATTCCAATGCTTCATTTTGTAAGTCAAGGTTTTCAGAAAGTTTAATAAAGTGAGTGTTTTGTAACATAAAACTGATAGGTGATCTAGTTCATGTCACAGTCCTTTGTAAAGAAGATAAAACAGCCTACAACTAAAGTCTTTGCTAGAAGAGAACTCTGAGAACAAGAACCTAAAGCTTCAGTTTGTGTTTTATCACATCAAGACAAAAATCACCACAGCAGCAGCTGGGAAATAGAATCCAAAACACAAAATAAATCATTATTGGCCATCTATAATAGTTACAAAAGCCTAATGCTCTAAACGGAGCAAAACTGTTCTTCCAAAGCTTCTTTTTCTTTCTCTTTCTCTTTCTCTCTCGCGCTCTCTCTCTCTGTGCATGCGTGGACGTTTGTGGAGCGTGTGAGAGCTCGAGCTTTGAGCGCGTGTATTTGTCTTTTCTTTTGTGTTTTCCTTATGTAGCACCGAAAGGGTGGGTTTTGTTGTTCTGGACTCAACTATAATTACAACACCGACTACGCCACCCTGGGAATTTCACCCAGGGAAATAATGCTCCAATAAGGACACAGGTTCGTTCCCACAAGAAAGAGCAGAGACGTGAATATATAAAATGACAATACTTTATTATGACTAAAATCAAAACTACACACACACACACTTCAGTACACAAAGGGTTAATATGGCTTCAAAATCAAACTAAAGGAAAATAAACAAAATCAATCAGACAAGCAAAGATAAAATGTCAGATGGCAAGGAGAAATAGCAAACCTACCCAATTCCACTTTACTACAAACACTTCAAACGTACACTACTGTAGCCTACTCACTTCACCACAAGCACACGTGCATTCAAGTGACAGAAAATTCAGAAGAGTCAAAATCACTCAGTGAACAAGGGTACCCAGTAACTTGGACCTAGAGTGGTCAGCCCTCCTTCTTAGCCAGTCCAACAAAATTAACAAAGTCAACTTCAAATTGTCAAAAATCAATAAACAAGAGAAAAAAAAAGAAAAATACAATAAAATGATCATAAATCAAAATAAACAAGAGAAAAAGAAAATACAAAGTTGATCAAAAAAATACAAAAGCAACAAAATAACAGATGCAAATCACATTACAACTGATCCATGAACAATACACACACAACCGACTCACTCCATAAGATCACGCAAACATCAATACTTCTTTCTCACGAGAACACACACACGCGCACACAATAAACGAACGCACTCAAACAACTCGCATCATCTTATGAGTTCATTCACACAACAATCCAATTATACCATACGAACCCCACAAACAGTCATTCAGTTGAACCAGTGCGGAGGTGGCCAAACGGCCACACGGATTAAGAATCGAGTCTTACAGTCTCCCGGCGTCAAGTTCATTTGATGTGGGATAGTCAAGCAGGCGCAAACGAGGCGAGGCAAGGCGGAGCGTCGCGGCAACGCGCAACAGAAGTGCTCAAGACAACAAAGACAAAGACCAAAAAAAGGAAGGGGAAGCCAGGTCACGGTCCCAATCGGCTCGCTGTAATTATGCCGACATTACTAGCTCTTGGCCTCTCCAACTAAAACAGAGGAGGAACACGATATAAACAATGTCTCTTCGCGGATATTCCCCCATTAAGTCAATAGTTTACCCACCTGATTATTAGCAAATCAGCCCTCCCAACGTCAAGCCACGATGGGTAAACACAGCCCGGGATGCATACTAAAACAAACAGAACGCATACAGCCAACAGCTCACCCCAAATTAAATATTTCTCTATCTATGGTAACGTACCCAAATGATGTGCGGTTCAGCCCAAGGATCCCCATACGGGAACAGCTCGGAAAGACGGTGTCAAAGTTTGCAGCAGCCTACACGCTTCCCAACACAGGAACCTTCCTTATACACACTCACGCACCCATAGCGCACCTGGATCTAATTAGGTAAATACCATTCGGTTAGTACTCAGGTTGTTACTAAAATTAAACTAGGCAGCTATGCCTGCTACAATCTACAATTCGTACAATACGATTCGTACACCCCAAGTCACTTTCATTGACGGCAAAAATTGACTGAAACCGCTGCAGCAAAACCCTAACCTTGCTCTGCTCGTCATCAGGTAATGAACTCAACTCAACCGCATCTATTTGTGCTCGCTCTGGGGGCAAACCTGCAGTAATTGCGTTAGACCGAACTTCTGTAACACCTGCAGGTAAACTAACCACATGTACGCTACTTAAAGTGCCCAAAACCCTGCGCGGGAAAAGCATAACATCTAAAGTACCCACGTTAACTATTGGTACATAGACTGTGCCTTTAACAATGCGAACCAATGCAGGCGAGACCAACAGATTTTCCGGTAATCCGGACTCAGGGGGTTCAAGGAGCACTACTCCATCTGCAAATTGTTCTGAACAAGTCGCCGCTATCAACGTAATAGTACCGCCTATCACTCACTGCGTCCGAGGACCCCGCACCCTAACCCACCCTGAACAACCAGGAGGAGGATGAGTGTTTACTTGATGGCACTGTTGCAAGGCCTGCCTCACAAAGGAAGGGACTCCAGCCACAGAAGGGAAGTTAAAAAGTGCTGTACCGTGCTGCCCGAACAACTGCTGGTAGCACCGCCCCAAGACATTCATCCCTAATACACCAGGGGCTTGGACACCAATGCCTCCTGGGGGATCCTTAACAACCAAAATGCCACAATTAGAGACTGCGTGCCCACATAATTCAACATCCAATTCCAAATAACCTATATGTAATCGAAAGCCCATTTGCAGCACGCAATAGCCACTGGCAGGACTTCAAACGGTCTTGCCCCCACGGTTCAAAATGTCTACGAAAACAGGTCTCCGTAATCGTAGACACCATTGACCCAGTGTGTATTAAACAAGACACAACCACTCCACCTATATGGACATCTAAGTGGGGACACAAAGACACCAATTTTGGTAGAGAACGTGAAATGTAATCTATCTCTGAGCCGCAATTCTCCCCAACCGACTCGTGGCTCCGCGACCCGGCGGGGACTAGTTTTCCGACTGTTGACCAAAGCGAAGTTGCCTACCATCCGTTGGCAAATCAGCATGACGGGGTAGGTCCCTAGAATGGGGGGCCACTCGTTCCCCAACACTTTCTTTGGCAATGTGTCCCGGCCTATGGCACCGCCTACATATAATCGGGCCACTACGAGCAGATGGAACACGAGGTGACGGTCCTTGCAACCTTGTAATTCTTTGGGTGAGCTGCTCAAGCTGCTTCTGCTGTGCCTTAAACATCTCTCTTAATTCGCTCAACTCAGAACGTGGAAGTACACCACCAACCCCCGTATGTGTACCTCCCCCTGGAAGCCTTGAACCGACGGAACTGAATGGCTACGGCCTCTAGCGCACCCCCGGGGTCCCTTCTTGTTCCCATCGTATAGCTTCACTTCGCACTTCCAGCAGGGTTGAATTTGGCTGACGACGAACGAGCTGCTTTAATTCTCGACGGAGGCTGTAATTCACGTACATGTTCAACGAATTGATCCCGCAATAAAGAGTCAGCATTTGGCAAACCACTGGGCGACCGCTGTTTAACCCTCTCTAGCAGACCCATGAGTACCAAAGAAAACTCCAATAGGGTCTCTCCCTCATGCTGTCTCCTAGAGAAAAATGCTTCTTGCAAAGCCACATAGGACTGGGAGCAACCGTACAATTCGTGCAACGCAATAATTATTTTCTCCGGGTCTTCCCGTTCTATCGCTGGGCGATATCGAATTTCTTCCCGAGCTTCCCCTTCCAAATGATCAAATAAAAAGAATGCGCGATCGGCAATGGACATATGACGAACCCTCATACAGGCCTCCGCCTCGTCAACCCATTCGTTTATACCCATTCCCGCTCTACCATTAAACTTGGGACACCTACGATCTCGTGGTATAAACACAAACCTCTCTGTAGCCGGAACATCAGAATTTGCCGGCGGAGGGTCAATAGGCAATGCTGACCACGCATTAGACGGACCAGGTCTGGGTTCCGCTGCATCTGTGATGGCCCGATCCTGCCTCAACTTCTCATTCTCAGCCCGCAACTGTAACACTAGATCTCGCAGTGCACGTAATTCCTCATCCATCCTTAAGAAATCAGTGAGACTACCAACAAAAAGAGATAGGACGTTCAGTGCACACCGCCGCCCTGCTTCAAAAAAAAAAAAAAAAAAAAAAAAATCACATTCACCCCACACAATATAGAAAAAAAAACTAATTCACATCTCAGCCCAAAAAATCAATGTGTGAACCCTGCCGACTACGCCAGAATGTAGCACCGAAGGGGTGGGTTTTGTTGTTCTGGACTCAACTATAATTACAACACCGACTACACCACCCTGGGAATTTCACCCAGGGAAATAATGGTCCAATAAGGACACAGGTTCGTTCCCACAAGATAGAGCAGAGACGTGAATATATAAAATGACAATACTTTATTATGACTAAAATCAAAACAACACACACACACACACAAACACACACACTTCAGTACACAAAGGGTTAATATGGCTTCAAAATCAAACTAAAGGAAAAATACAATCAAATTATCATAAATCAAAAATAAACAAGAGAAAAAGAAAATACAAAGTTGATCAACAAAATACAAAAGCAACAAAATAACAGATACAAATCACATTACAACTGATCCATGAACAATATACACACACAACTGACTCACT